AGTATATTAATCGTCACGGATCAATTATTAAAAATATTATTCATCGCCGGACGTGACATAAACCGTCCCCATCCCTAGGTAGAGGTATGACTATCTTATACTAAAGAGGAGTGACAAAGCGCTTTTTAGTGTACCCAGGAGTGTTGTGATACACTCTTAAGCAGCGGATGTATATATATACCTCTAATATAGTTGTTTCGGGTTCTTCATCAGCAATTAAGGAACCTCATTTTGGGGCACTCCACAAAGAAGTGTTTAAAATCGCCAGATCGCAACACCTTCTACCCAATCATATTCCTCCGTTAATCCAACTTTCAAAAAAGAAATATATTTTTCATTTTTTGGAATACTAACTTTATAAATAAATCAAATAAATTAATAAGTTAATAAAAAAAAGATGGCTTTAAGTGATATTACACCAAGAAAAGTCAATTTATGGATTAAAAATATGGAAAGCATAGTACACCTTACTAAAACATTAAGTGAAAAACTTAATGATGATTTTTTGTCAGTGGAATGGGTTATACATAGAATAAATAGAATGTAAATATAATAAATAATTTGAATTCCATACTAATAATATAAATGAATTACTAATAATATAAGCTCTAATAAATTTATTTAAGGAATGGAAAAATTGAAAATATTACAGAAAAAGAAGAATCTTTAATTAGGAAGTACCTTTCTTATCAAGTTTCATCAATGCTTATTCAGGCAATCGTAAGTAAAATTTGCTTTAGTTTTATTACTTCCATTAATAATTGATAATAATAATATTTGTTTTTAGAGTGCAATTATATTTAGAAATCCGAATAAAATATATGAAATTTGGAAACAATTTACAGTAAAATATAATTGTCTTTATCATATTATATATATAAATCTTTTTTAAAAAATTTTAAATTCACATTCATGCACAAATTATAATATTTTAGAAAAAATCATGTTTGGTGACCTATCAACACAAATTAAAACTATCAACAGGATTACCAATTGAAACACCAATAAAAGAATTTGGTGATAAGGTCTTATGTTAAGACCATATTATGTTGTAAATGATATTGATAAAGAAGATGATATTCCTTACTTAGAGGTAACACAATATATATAGATATGTTAATAATACTATTTTTCTAAAAAAAATTTTTTTTTTAGTTTGTTGCCGAAAATTTGTTTAATATAAAAGTTATAGAACCTGATACAACATATAATTATGGATGCTCTTGTGAAGATAATTGCAAAGTTATTATTATTATTAATCATTATTTTAATTTTGTTTTTATATAATTAATGATTATTTTTATTATACTAATTAGAATAATTGTGCTTGTATTGATGACCATATGGAAGGTAATTAATTAATTATGATAGTGTTAGTTAACTATATTAATAGTAATAATAATAATATCATTGAATTCAGGAGGATATCCTTATCAAAACAAAAGATTGATTCATTCTAATGTGGGAATCTTATATGAATGTAATTCTAAATGTAGTTGTAATTCAAATTGCAGGAATAGAATCATTCAAAATAGTCCAAAATTAAACAGAACTTTACAGGTAATGATAAATGATTGATCAATTGATTTATTGATGAATAAATAAATGACTAACTAATTAAATCAGCGACCAGCTAATATCGCTTTGCTTACATTGATTTTTCAATGATGATGATGAATGATATAGATATTCAAAACCGATGATAAAGGATGGGGAGTTCAAACACTTGAAAATATTAAAAGAGGAGGATTTGTTACAGAACATATGGGAGAAGTGATTGATTCAAAAACAGCATTAACAAGAACAATTTGCTACAACAAATTACATATAATGCCATTTTTTGATCTTGATTATGGTTTTACAGTAGCTGATTCAATTAATTGCTTGAGGTAATAATATTAATTAATATATTTATTTTTTAATGATTGAGTTGATTTTACTAAACTACTAAATATATATATATATATTATTTCTAATATGTGATATACTACTACTAATAATAATGATGACAATGATAATAATAATAGTATTGATACAAATTATTACTGTAATATTAGCAGATTCCTAAATCATTCATGTAATCCCAATCTAATCACCATACCAGTAAGTTATATATATATCTATAATTTATTTATAGATAAATTGAATCTTTATCATAATAAATTAGTTACCCTTGTTATTGTTGTCATTGTCATTAGTTCGTTGTTGAAAATCGAGACTTAAAAAGCCAAAGGATTGCATTTTTTGCAGTACGTGATATAGACAAAATGGAGGAACTAACAATAGATTACAAGATGAAAGGTGGTTCTTTCGAATGCTTGTGTAACACTAAAGAGTGCAGGTTCCGTATACATTACACTACTCTGATTACATAATAATAATATTTATAATTAATAATTAATTATTTTACTAAAAAATTAGATTCAAAAAAAATTAAAAATAAAAAATAAAAATGAGTAAACAATAGGAATGGTGCATGGCTTTTTAATTAAAAAATTATCTTATCTATCAATTATGAGCCAATAAAATATTTGATCAACCAATTAGGTAATAAATGATCTCTACGTAGTGATAGTTTATTATTTTGATCATTTGTTTTTTTTTTTTCGTGTGAAATAATAATAAAAAAAATAAAAATAAAAATTCGAACTGATTAATTTAGAATGAATAAATACGGGATAAGAAACACAAAAGATAATTTTTTAATATAAATAATAAATGAAAATTTTTTTCTTTTGATAATTATTATTAAATGTGAGAATTGATATTATCGATGAATGATAGTGATTCAGCTTTACTAGAATGCGAGTATGTATAATAATAATTTCAATTGAAATATTTATTAATTAATATTAAAACTTTATATAAATTATAACATAGATGGGAATATTCAATAGCAAATTGTAATTACGATACAGTACTTAAAAACCTTTACATATTATCAAATATATTATTTCTAAGCGTTGCAATTGGTGGAATAATATTATTATTTATAAGATTAGTAGTTAGGAATAGTCATCTATGGGATAAGAACAGTGGATTTTTTTTGCCTTTAGAAGGCTATTTATTAGGAATTTCAATATTTAGTGGAGGTAAAGTCATATCGTTGTAATTAATTAATTAATTATTATTTTAATTATCATATTTTGTTTTAGTACGTGCATTTGCAAATTTTGTACAGCAATTTAATTTATTTGCTTCAAGTCCAATCGCCAGAGAATTAATTTATGATTTCAGCTGGATTCCTGCGGACCTAACGGTTGCAACTTATCTTGCCGGAATGTATGTGTCAAAATATTTAAATGTCCAATTGATCAAGTTGTTCAAATTAATACTTGCAGTTAACTTTGAATCTGATAATATTTATCAATTGAGGCACTATTTTAATTTTAATTGATTTCTCTCGTTCTCATTCCCATTCAAGCTTTAGAGCACTGTTAAAAATGTATCTTCACAATTTTACTTCGCATCAACAACCAACAAAAGGTGTCTACTTATTACCAGAATCACATATCAACAAAATTTATTGGACATTTTTTATAATTCATTTTATATATTCACCATCATTAGCTATAATATCCGGAATCACTTGTAATATTAGCAGATTCCTAAATCATTCATGTAATCCCAATCTAATCACCATACCAGTAAGTTATATATATATCTATAATTTATTTATAGATAAATTGAATCTTTATCATAATAAATTAGTTACCCTTGTTATTGTTGTCATTGTCATTAGTTCGTTGTTGAAAATCGAGACTTAAAAAGCCAAAGGATTGCATTTTTTGCAGTACGTGATATAGACAAAATGGAGGAACTAACAATAGATTACAAGATGAAAGGTGGTTCTTTCGAATGCTTGTGTAACACTAAAGAGTGCAGGTTCCGTATACATTACACTACTCTGATTACATAATAATAATATTTATAATTAATAATTAATTATTTTACTAAAAAATTAGATTCAAAAAAAATTAAAAATAAAAAATAAAAATGAGTAAACAATAGGAATGGTGCATGGCTTTTTAATTAAAAAATTATCTTATCTATCAATTATGAGCCAATAAAATATTTGATCAACCAATTAGGTAATAAATGATCTCTACGTAGTGATAGTTTATTATTTTGATCATTTGTTTTTTTTTTTTCGTGTGAAATAATAATAAAAAAAATAAAAATAAAAATTCGAACTGATTAATTTAGAATGAATAAATACGGGATAAGAAACACAAAAGATAATTTTTTAATATAAATAATAAATGAAAATTTTTTTCTTTTGATAATTATTATTAAATGTGAGAATTGATATTATCGATGAATGATAGTGATTCAGCTTTACTAGAATGCGAGTATGTATAATAATAATTTCAATTGAAATATTTATTAATTAATATTAAAACTTTATATAAATTATAACATAGATGGGAATATTCAATAGCAAATTGTAATTACGATACAGTACTTAAAAACCTTTACATATTATCAAATATATTATTTCTAAGCGTTGCAATTGGTGGAATAATATTATTATTTATAAGATTAGTAGTTAGGAATAGTCATCTATGGGATAAGAACAGTGGATTTTTTTTGCCTTTAGAAGGCTATTTATTAGGAATTTCAATATTTAGTGGAGGTAAAGTCATATCGTTGTAATTAATTAATTAATTATTATTTTAATTATCATATTTTGTTTTAGTACGTGCATTTGCAAATTTTGTACAGCAATTTAATTTATTTGCTTCAAGTCCAATCGCCAGAGAATTAATTTATGATTTCAGCTGGATTCCTGCGGACCTAACGGTTGCAACTTATCTTGCCGGAATGTATGTGTCAAAATATTTAAATGTCCAATTGATCAAGTTGTTCAAATTAATACTTGCAGTTAACTTTGAATCTGATAATATTTATCAATTGAGGCACTATTTTAATTTTAATTGATTTCTCTCGTTCTCATTCCCATTCAAGCTTTAGAGCACTGTTAAAAATGTATCTTCACAATTTTACTTCGCATCAACAACCAACAAAAGGTGTCTACTTATTACCAGAATCACATATCAACAAAATTTATTGGACATTTTTTATAATTCATTTTATATATTCACCATCATTAGCTATAATATCCGGAATCACTAGACAAAATAATGATAAAGAATTATTAAATATTATATTTGGGTTACATTGGTCAGGCTTTGGTATAGTCCAATTATTATTCGCAGCATCAGCTGCTTATTATGGGTTTAAATTAGTTCAATTGACAAAAGCTTCTTGTATTTTAATTGGAATCAATGATCTAGACAATGATGACAATAATAGTAATAATAATAGTAATAGTAATAATAATAATAGTAATAGGGATAGGATCAGTAATAATAGTAGTATATGTGGTAATAATGATAATAACAATAACAATTATCACAACAACAACAATAATAGTAACAGTCATGACAATTATAATATTGAAGATATTGAATTAGAAGATTTGAATAATCAAAAACAACAGCAGCAATCACAACTAAAAAATGAGGGAAAAAAAGAAAAAGAAATTGTTGAGGAGAGGAATAATTTTAACAACAATAACAGTAACAATAGAAATAACAATGGAACAAGAAAACTATCAAAATTGGAATGGAGAAATTTAAGACTTAAACAAAATATAAGAAAGGTTTGTGAAAATCATTAAACCACTTCTTCAATTAACTAATCAAATTGATGCTTCAACTAATTTTTCTTAATTTCTTCAATTCCTCAGATGAAAATATTAAATTATACTTGTATATATATGTTTTTATGTTATGGTATATCATTGATACTATTATCAATATTTTATCTTAAATTATTTAATCAACCGATTGTAAGCAGAATATTTTTCTTTTTCACTAATATTACAACTCCACTGTGTTCGCTGATAGCATTAGTAGGCATATTACAAGCGTAAGTTTATGATTTATGATTATTGTAGATTTGTTAATGAATTCATTTGCAAGAATACAAACACAATTTGTAAATTTCTGTTTTTATTTTATTTAATTTTAGTGAAATTTATCCTAGATCTTATAAATTTATGGATATAAACTCAGTTCAAGTTTAATGTAAGATAATATAGACAATATAGATTAGTTAATTTAATTTAATTTATACTTAAGACTATGAAAATAAAAACAATATTATGTGGGCATAACCTAACAAAGCAAACATTTGATTCCAGAGTTCGAACTTTAGCAATTGGATGGTTATACAAAGTAACCTGATAATTTCTTCGCCCCTTTCACAAACAATAAAGCAATAACATAATACATGATAAAGCGAATCAAAAATAAAATTGAGATTTTTGAATTTGTAATAACAGTCAAGGAAAAAAAAACAGGGCCGTTAATTTATACATACAAATCAAGAAATTATTTTTTTTCTAATAATTAAAAAAACTATCAAAAATGGTTGATTATTTATGGCTTTAATTTAAATTTAAATATCTTAGTTAGTCAAAATCTGGAAATAGCAAGTCTTAGAATTTATTTCTCACTATAGATGGGTGTTCAAAATTGTTTTAGGATATGTCTAAAGTCAAAATGTATTTTAAACAAAATGTTCTAAAAATGTCAAATAATAAAATGTCAGAATGTCAAGACGGTTTAACCAAATTTGGAATTATCAGCAGATTTTCACAAAAAATACTAATTTGTATATATGGCACAGTCAAAATTTATAAGCATAATGGAAATTTGAAATGTTACATTAATTTTTTATATTGTGCAACGTAGCTTTACAATACACGGCAAACATTCTGGCAATAAAAAGTAAGTGATAAACTGGATTTGAATTGGATCTGAACTTGATCACCAATTTAGAGAGGCAACAACTATATACTGGTGAAGTTTCAGAAGCAATGAGTTCTGTATAACGTTTCGTGTAACAACAAACTTCTGCTATGCTAAATTTATATTTTGTGAGCATTGTGTGACAATCGCTTTATATATCATAATCAGGGTTGTGCAATTTCACTGTACGAGAAACTTCGAACGTACGTACGACTGACTTCGTACCATTGAGTTCGTATGGCTTCGTTGTGGTCGTACATCTGTACGAGGAAATTTTACATATGTACATACGTACAAATGTCGATGTATCAGAAATGATGATTTTCTGCGGTGACAAAATATTACTTTGTAAAATCCTATAATAATATTATTATTAACCCGATAATCCTATTGCTATAATTAATGATCAGATGTTGTAACTGGGGTCTTAATACTATTTCATTATCAGAAAAAACCTTATTATCGTGTTATATGTGCTTATTTAAACCCCTTGTTATTATGTAGTAGTATTATATATGTTATCATTATAGTCAGTGTTGTGCAATTTCGCTGTGCAAACGTTCTGTGGTGATAAAATATTATTTTGTAAAATCCTATAATAATATTATGCCGTCAGCCTTATTACTATTACGATTACTATAATTAAAGATCGTAATACTACTTCGTTATCAGAAAACCCCTGATTATCATATTATACTTGTATTATCCTATGGTGCATTATTATTATTAGTAGTAGTATTAATAGTATTATTATTACCGTGATTCCTAAATTTTTTTTTCTATTTATTTATAATGAAATAAAAAAATTATCTCTACATTCTTGTTAATTATATTATCAATTCAAAATAATTAATAGTAGTATAAATATCTTCAATCACATACAGTATGTAGTTAATTCCACAATATAGTCAAACCTTGCCACAGCGGATGAACGGTACACATAAACAAATTTTATTTAAAATCCGCTGTGGCAAGATTACTAAATACTAATACTAATCTTGCCACAACGGATTTTATATGTTTTACATGTTAATGTGATATGTGTGAAGCAAAAATTTTTAAAATCCGTTATGACAAGGGTTCGATTATTATTATAGTTCGCTGTGACAATAGTTGACGAATTTAACATATATATATTACATTTGATCAACCAATCATAAATCACTACAATGTACTAAAAAATTTTTAAGCTCATGTGTACAATTCCCAACCCTGATCATAATAATTCACCAGTTATAATTTTGAATATTAAGTATTCCTACATATTACCTGAAGATGATGACATGTTCTAAATCTTATTATAACTTGCTGATTATAGTGAGTGGTCCTTTCTTCTTTAACCCATCGTTTTTTTGGCTTTTTTTGAATCCTCCATTTGTTTTTCATATTCATTAGTCAATAAAATTTTGTTTAGAGATCTCTGGTTCTTATACTGTTATAAGCCAAATTATCTTTCTCCGAACATTATTGTATTATTTGAACCAGTTCCAGGAATTGTAATGTCAATGTACCAAATGCAAAATTCCGTTAATATCTAATTTAGAACGCCTATGTATGGCATAAAAAGGTAACATTTTTTTGTTGCATTGCTACCGAATAAACAGATTTTAGATAACAATCAATCGCTTAATTGCATTACAATTTTCTAATGTCTTTTTATCAAAAGAAAAAGTTAATCTGTCTGGCCTGAAGGATATACAAATTCGGGATGGTCTTTTCTATGTTTTGTTGCTTAACCTGATAATTAAAAAACAAATTAAATTTTGCAAAAAACATTCACCTAGAACCAATTTAAGATGCCATATTTTAACACAACTAATAAAAATTAATTCATTTATGTTTATGCAAATTTTTATAAAGTTTGGTTGGGAATTGATGCAAAACATAAAAATCTTTACCCATATATTATACAGTACTGCGCAATAATAATTTACTATAAAACTTATACCAAAAGTATTGAAAAATGAATTCGATTATCCAGTGTTTGTCGGGTTTCCTTTTGTATCAATTACAGCCAGCATAATTTCCATCGATCCATAATGAATCTTGCACAAAACTACATCAGGAAAATGGGTACAAATATTATGTGTATATAATACACAATTGCAGGGATTAAGCATATAATATGCGTACAAATCGCGTATTTTTTTATGTATGCAAATTGTACATATATTATATGCTTAATCCCTGCAATTGCATATTATATACGCATAATATTTGTACCCATTTTCCTGATGACTAGGGACGCTAATTTGGCGTAACTAAATTGAGTTTAAAACATTAATGTTTTTAATATCCACTCGAAATGCGCTTCAAACATAATTATATTTAAAGCTTACATCGTAAATAGTTTTGATTTAATGGCAGAGTATATTTGAGCACATTCCCAAAAAAAAAAAAATTATATAACAATAAAAATATGAATTGTCAAAATGCAACAATGATTGTTGACAGATTTGGAGCTAAACCCGTTTGAGTAAATTCGGTCAGATATGATATCATCAAGAATATTTACACAGTGAGTCTTGATTTAGCGGATTTAGGTAAAATTTTCGAGACCAAATTTTCTTATAATTATAATTATTTTATCTTTGATTTAACTGATTTAACGGTTTTAACGGATTTTTCATATTCTAATACATTTGATTTACCGGATGTTTCTTTAAAAATCCATATTAATATTAATATATTAATATGTCGTTTATAATAAATTTATCTTGATATAACGGATAATGATGATCCTTGCTATATTTGAGCTATTGTAATTTTAATAATTGCACGCACGATTACATATTAATATGTATGATAATTATAATTAATGCATAATAACGTATGTTAATTAACGTAAATAAGAGATGTGATGTGTAAATAAACAGTCATATAATATTGTGAAGATTATATGCGGGTTAAAAAATTGAATGTTCATGATGATGCTACTATGATTCTAGTATAACATCATAATTTATAATTAATTTTCTTAATAGTATTATGTTTTCGTATTTTTTTATTAATATTTTTAATACGGGTCATGTCAAAAGATTAAAAAGTGAAATTTCTTACAACACCATCAATATGATCAATATAATGATGACGACAATGGTGGTGATAATTTTACATGTGCACTAACTTTTCTGATACAAGGTCTGATAGTTCATTGACTTCCAAATTTCAATGATTTAAGTGGTGGTTCCAGAAGATCTTTTAAAAAACGAATCGTAACATATGGTTTTGTGTGGAAGTACTTTGAAAAAGTGAAAGATTCTAATAGAAATGAATTCATAATTTACAAATTAACAAAAAAAAAAAAAAATGAAATATTATTATTAAAAAAAAAATTTAGTCAACTAATTAGTCAATTAAAGAAATTTTGACCAACTAGTAATTGACTAAGGATTTTTTTGGACGAATAGCCACAAATTAATTTTTAAAATTAAATAAATAATTAAAATGGATCAGAAATGACAGAATTTCACATGTGTCTAATTAGTTAATTATTAATTAGCACAAAGAAGAAATTTGTTATTTGCCATGTCATGACCTACCTCCTTCCAAAGTAAGGTTGTGGGCGAAACCTCCTTAGTAATTGCTGAAACCATGGCAAAACTATATTAAATCTTATCAAAAATCCTGTTGAAACTATGCCGAAAGGCGAAACCTCAAAATGCGAAACTCTGCCGAAACTCTAATAAACAATTAATGTGTAACCTGCCGAAACCCTGCTGATTGATTTCTGGATGAGTTTTGGCAAGCAACCTTATTCCAAAGTCTGTAAGGTATGTTTTATTTCTTAATAATTTCTGAGTGGGAAAAACTTTTGTTTTTCAAACCTAATTTTTTGGGAAGGAATTTTTATCAATCTACATAATTTTTCAGTCAGTAGGCATTCAGTACTGTACACTTTTGCATTCATGTACTGTATGATCTGCAAATCAGCATTTCTGTATTAAATGTTATGAGTACAGAATCCATTTGATTGGTGGGGATGCTGTGTACTGTATGTTGGTGTATGACTTTTTTAAAAAAATTTCTATTTTTGTAGATATACAGTACAGGAATGCAAAAGAGTACAGTACTGAATGTCTATATACTCATAATTTTTTTTTTGATATGTCAGACTTTTTTTTTATTGATTGCAAAAAAATAAGTATCGCAGGTTGTGAAAATCAATGATGTGTAAAAATAAATGGTATTTTATTTTTGAAAATTAATGAATGGCATGTTTACATTGATTGTTAAATAGAAATGAAAAAAAAAGAATAATAAATTTCATTCG